CCATCCATCGTTTCCTCAATATGCGCGTAATCTTCGCGCTCGTGCTGACGCGGCGAGTAGGTATACTCTCTAAGCGCTGTTTCGTTATGCTTTCAGTTTCGTTTGCCCTTTGATGTTTCTCATATGCAACAGAAACTGAAGCGCTTATGAGTTGACCAACACGGTGGTCACACCAGTGCGACCGCACACAAAATTTAGTCGCACAGGCAGAAAAAATGGTCGCAGTCTGGAGCCCTGCATATTAAAGTTCATAAGTGCAGCGCTGCTTTGTTTACAGCAGAAACCAAGGAAACGCGTTAAGCGCCACCTGCTGGCAGAGAGTGCATCTGCGTCTCGTTCAGCTCGTCTGCTGTTTCTGTTTCATGCAGATATTTTTTATGCATAGTTTCACAAAACTGAAGTCAAACCATTCTGTTTTTGCTTCAAATTTAGAAATTATACAATCTAATTTAGATTAAAAACTGCTCATGTTGCATGTATGCAGCATCTTTGTTTGGATCATGATTAAAATGCAGTGGTTAAATGCTAATTTTAAATGGAAAGAGCACAGACAAAGCCTTATTTTGTTTATATGAAGAGATTTATTTTATTTGTGTTACTTATTTATTTGATTTGGGGCTTGTTTTAAATTTTCAATTTAGTTGTGTTATTTACATTTACATTAAATTAAAATTGTTATTTAGCAGACACTTTTATCCAAAGCGACTAACAAATGAGGACAATAGAAGCAATCAAAACCAACAAAAGAGCAATAATATGCAAGTGCTATATTAGTATATTATTATTATTTCAATCTCACAAAGAAACGTACAGTATTTTGTCCAAGCAATAATAAAAGGACACATTTAATTTATAATTTGTCTTAAATCTCATTTTGTAAAAAAAAAAATCGTGAATCCAATCGAATCGTGAAATCAAAATCGCGAATCCAATCGAATTGTGAGTTGAGTGAATCGTTACATCCCTAAATATAAGCAAGTAAACTAACTGAAAATCTATTTATATAATAAATATAAATATATTTTAATCATAAATTGTAATTAAATTATAATTATCAAATAATTTTTCATTTGAACAATAAAAAATAAAACTATATATATATATATACACACACACACACTGTATGTGACATGTGCAGCACTGGAAATGATGGGTATTCCAATCGTGTGAGGCTTTCTGCTGGCCTAATAATGAGGTCATTTTGTGAGCAGATGATTGGTTGTAGCTGGGACATGATCACTCATGTTTCTCTCTAGAGGAAATCAAAGCAGCGAGAGTCGTCTGCCTACAGCGAAAGAACTAGATCCTCTTCCAGCTCCATCTGAACATGAGCTCATCTGCCTTTCAGCACAAACGCTGAGCAAGAGATCCATCAACGCCTCCGCAAAGCCACAACAACACCGACAGCCGTGCAGGAGCGTTATTAGAGCTCCTAAAGAATGACATCAGCACTGAGAGCGGGACGCTTCACCCACAGACAAACGAAACAAACGGCCTGATCTGATCACAGCCTCTGAGATTCACAAAAACAGTGCCATATGAGGAGCACAAGAGCACACATCATGCTCTGTACAATGTCAGAATGACAGTAATTAGATTGCTGGGAAGGAATCTGGCTGGGGTTTCCCATCGATTCACATGAGCTCTGAAGAGAGAGAAGAAATGAGTGTAAGGAGAAAATCTCATTATTCAGGAATGATGATTTTTTATGTTTTTGAAGGAAGTCTCTTCTGCTCACTAAGGCTGCATTTATTTGATCAAAAATACAGTAAAATAGTGAAATATTATTACAATTTCAAATAACTGTTTTCTATGTGAATATACAGTAAAATGTATTTTATTCCTGTGCCCAAAGCTGAATTTTCAGCATCATTACTTCAGTCTTCAGTGTCACATGATCCTCCAGAAATCATTTTAATATGCTGATGCACTGCTCAAGAAACATTTCTGATTATTATCAATGTTTAAAAGAGCTGTGCTGCTTCATATTTTTGTGGAAACTGTGATACATTTTATTTTTCAGGATTCTTTGATGAAAAGAATGTTCAAAAGAACAGCATTTATTTAAAATATAAATATTTTGTAATATTATTAATGTCTTTACTGTCACTTTTGATCATTTTAATGCATCCTTGCTGAATAAAAGTATTAATTTCTTTAAAAAAAGAGAATAAATCTTACTGACACAAAATTTTGAATAGTGTGCATTAAAAGTGTAAAACTATCAGGGAAAAGTCATGTTTACACGTTCCCATGCTGCTAAAATCACTGGATCTGACACGGTTTTTGACGTTTATGACATCAAAACTTAGAAAGAGGTAAAGAGTTTTATCTGAGGCACTTGCTTGGTAGAAAATGAATGCGTTACGTTCAATAAAAAAAGCAATACTTTTGAATAAACAGAAAGCTCAGAAAGTCACACACGTTGCACACAAATTTCTCAGTTATTGTACAAACATTTGCAGAAACTACTGTGCAATGATGTATCACGGGTTTCAGATGAATCCAGCCCTAAAAAAAAGTAACTTTTCATATCTGTCAGATGATTCTTCCTGTCTAAACGGGCCATTCTTGACCAGAACAAGCTGCAAAGCAAACCATTCTGGCTGTATCAAGAGCCGCACTGAAGGTTTTATGCTAGTCTGGGCCTCAGGACGCAGAAAACCACCAAAAGTAAGGAAAAGTATTCAGATCACAACCCTTCAAAACCTACAAGAGTTTGAGATAATCAAGCGTTTCCCTCAAACAGCAGCTTGTGTACGGGGCAGTTAAAAGGCGGGATTTTAAATCACCGCCGCTCTTTTCTCTGTGTCTCTGCGCTGTGAGTGACCGAACAAAAGCTGCTGCGAGTGAATTAGCGGCGATGAATGGACACGCAGCTGCTTCACGCGGCACACGGCCCTGACGGCTCCCCTGCTGCATTGTGGGTAGAGACGAGGTGACATAAAAATACCATCTGTGAGGGAATAACTCACAGACTCTGATCAAATAAAACACACACACATGGACATGGACAAAGACAAGGCCAGCAGCAGGAACACTAATTTAGAGGTCGATGATTTCAAATACTCCTCCTGCTGCAATCATGCAATCATAAGAGCATCGCCATGACAACCATCAGCCCTCCTGTTCCATACAAAATCATGTGATGTTTGTCATTCAGACGATGCCCTTTCATTCATAAAAACAACCTTAAATAACAAGACACAATTATATGATCACATACTGGTTTGAACCAGTCTCCAAACCAGCCAACAGAACAACCTGACTAGGCTGGTCCAGCTAAGACCAGGAAACCAGCTTAGGATGGTCTATGTGTTTTTTTTTGTTTTTTATTCAGCATGGATCAAAATAAAAATCTATGTGATGCAAGTTAATTTCTTTTTTCAAAGAATTACGTTTTACTGCATGTATAGAAAATTGGGATGTAAAAAAATAATTTATAAACTGACAATCATAATAATACAGGGTCGATTTTTGTTGCTAGAAATTCAATTAAAAGGAAATTCTGTCATCTTTGTTGTTGTTGTTATTGAAAATCGTTTTAAAAAATCATATTAAAATGATCAAGCTCAAATAAGCTGATTAAGCATATTTTTCAGCATATTAAGTTGAAATAAAATAAAATATAAATATTAGATAAAAATAATAAATAACTACTAATCAATAAATAAGTTAAATAAGTTTACATTAAAATAATTAACTAAAACTGAAATAAAAATATAAAGCTAAACCGAAATATTGTATTTTAATACAAAAAAATTGTAAATATACATTATATTTTAACATATTTTAAAAATAAAATAAAACAAAAGCACTTGATTAAATTACTCAAACTTAAACTAAAACAAAAAAGTATTTATTACTCTTAAAAATATTAACTTCAACATTTAATAATACAATATTAAAATAACATTTTTTGTTAATATTATTTAATGGACCTGAGCTAACATGAACTAACAGTAAACAGTTATATTTTTATTAAGTTAGATTAACAAAGATGAATAAATACTGTAACAAATGTATTGCTCCGTGTTAATTAGTCATTTAATGAATTAAATAATAACTAATGATACCTTACAGTAAACTTTTACTAAACATAAAAAAACTAAATGAAAATTATAATGCCTTGGCAACTAAGTGAAAGTGAAATAAATTATTAAAAGATAAAAACACAACAAAAACTAATAAAAATTACAACAGCACATAACAAAATTACTAAGATTTAAACTAAAATATACTGAAAATATAAAAAAATTAAATATCATTCAAAATATTATAATTGCACAAAAAATATAAAATACTTAAATAAAACTATTTTTAAATTCATGGTTAAGTAATATTTTAGACCAGGATGGACCAGAGTCCATTTGCTGTCATAGTTGGGTTTATTAGACGCTGTATTTTATTTCCTCTTGTGTGTGTGAATGTTGATTGTGTGTGAAACGTGTGAATGATTTACCTCCATTCGTCCTGTGGGCGGTTCTGCTCGTATCTCTCCCTCACGTGGGACACGCCCATATCCGGGTGGAGCCAGTGGATGTCGCCCGACGGTACGTGAGTGAGACGCAGCCCGAAACAAGCCACGTGTTTGACCTTATGAATGTCCACGATCTTCTGAATGATTCCCTGCAGACATAAAACACACAGTTCACACTCATAAAAATCCCACAATGCACGGCATACTGCGATATATAAACTGATTTATAGACGCATAAAAATCCTGCGGCTGTTATTCGATGATTAGAGAGTGTAATGGAGCCGACCTGGATCCTGCTGTATAAATCCAGCTCAACCTTCACGAGACTAAATATTCCCGTCACACACTAGAACTGCAGTGCAGTGCTGCATTTACTGCATATACTGTGCTACACACTCACACCATTCACACACACACTACTGCTCAAGAGATTGGGGCCAGTAAGATTTCTCTTGGAAGAAATTATTACTTTTATTCAACAAGGAATTGATCAAAAGTGACAGTAAAGGTTATAAAACTTTAAAAGGTTTTAAAGTTACAAAAGATTTCTATTTCAAATAAATGCTGTTCTTTTGAACCTTCTATTCATCAAAGAATCCTGAAAAATAAAATGTATAACGAAAATATGAAGCAGCACAACTGTTTTCAGCATTGATAATGATCATAAATGTTTCTTGAGCAGCAAATCAGCATATTAGAATGATTTCTGAAGATCATGTGACACTGAAGACTGGAGTAATGATGCTGAAAATACAGCTGCGCATCACAGCAATAAATTATATTTTAACATACATTTACATTAAAAACAGATATTTTAATTGTAATAATATTTTACAATTTTACTGTATTTCTGATCAAATAAATGCAGCCTTGGAGAGCAGAAGATACATTAAAAATGAATGAATGAATCTTACAAACCCCAAACTTTTGAACAGGAGTGTGTTACTGAATAATGAATAACTTTTTAATAAGTTTTCATAAAATAAGTAAAATAAATGATATTGTAAGAGTTTTCTGTGATGTAATTTCCTGTTTTATTCCTGTCACATGACTTGACTGACAAAAATTATTACACATATTTATAATATTTAAAAACTAACCTGTATTTTTTACTTTATATCCCACAAATGCATCAAAAGAAAACCAAAGACATGCTCCGTTTTCATCACAGAGGAATTGCATATTTAACATATTTTAGAACAAAAATTGCACCGTCACTGTCCCAGACATGACACAGGCCCAGATGACATCACTGCTGCTGAGGGGATGCTCTCATAATCTAACAAACAGGATGTGAAAATGATGCGGTCGTCACGGAAGCTGGGTGGTTGCCATGGCACCGCCGTGGCCCTCATTGATTGGATTACGGGTACGGGCAGAGCTGCCAAGGGCTCTGAGGACACACACACACACACACGACGGAGGGATTCTGGCAATGTGTCTGAATGTCATTCTGGTTACACACTAAATGGATTACATAATCACATAAGAGCCAAAATATATACTGATTCTGTGAGGTCAAACTACTAATTTGGTACTACTGCCATTGCTAAATTAATGATATAATCAGCTGCAATGTAGTTATTAGATAAATAAGATCTAATAGCAGCCTAATATACACCACACTAATGTATAAAATACTCCAACTATAACAACTCTCATTTTAGTTATCAATAATTTCACTGTAAATTAATATATTTTTTTAATTTTATAAGGTCATGGTATAGATCACAAAATGTAACTGAAAATAGATATATAAATACAATACAAAATTTAATAAATGTAATTGAAAATTAAAATGGAACATTTATTACAATTAAATCAATTGTATATATTTCATTGAATTTTACTGAAATGTCATGACTGCTGTTGTTAACTGAAATTAAAACTATTAAAAATCATTTCCAGCAATTCAAGATAAAGCTGAAGTAAAATAAAATACAAATCTTACATGAAAATAAAATAATACAATAAAATAAAATAAAATAAAAATGATTCCTTGGCAACTAACTGAAAAAAAACTTAAATAAAAATAAATTAAAGCTATATAAAAATATAGCTTATAAAACTACATAAAAATGTAGCTTATAAAACTATATAAAATATAAATATATACAAAAAAAAACTAACCAATGAAAGATACAAAACATAAAATTGTTAAAAGTTAAACTAAAATTAAAACAAAAACTGAAAATATAAACAATAAAAGATATTTCAAAATATTAAAAAGCTATACTAGTATATAAATAATACCAAAATAACACTAACTAATATACTTTACAAATGAGAGGTACTTATTCTCATTTATTTATTTATTTTCCTTTTTATTTATTTATTATTACTATTATTTTTATCATTTTGAACCTGGAAGGATAACCAATGAAATGTTGGATCCGTGTGAAAACAACCTCACAATATGTTACACCAGCATTAAAAACAAAAGTAAAATAAAACTAAAATTATAAAATGGATATTTTTGACCAATATACACTGACTTTTAATTTACCTTTAACTTCTGGTGCCTTTGTGCAGTCTTAACAAACTTAAAAAAAAGAGAGCGAGACAGACAAAACACTAACACACCCAGACAGCGTCTCGCAGCTCTCTCAGCATCAGACGGTGGTCTGGCACCCACGACAGTAAAGACACTACAGTGCTCTTCACAGACTAGATCACGCGTTTCATCAGGTCTAAAAACTCACGCTGGCACTCCAGCCAAAACGCTACATATTTATGATGGCACGTTCATGCCGGGGTCCCCCAGGGCTCCGTCTGTGGCCCATTTTCAGGCTAAGAGGACCATCAGGGCAGTTCAGCGTTGGGCTTTAACAGCAGGACACGACATATAAACAGAGCACAGGCCAGCTGGAACCGCCGTCTACACGTGGCCTTCAGATTACCACTGTCGGTTTGGCAAACCCGTGGTGTGCGGGAATAACAGAGCTGGATTCCCCGCTAGCACTGGGAGCGCTTTTCCGGCATTTACGTGTGCTTTCTGTAAGATCTGGGCCTTTAAAATAAATCATGTACGAGTAAAAGAGACTCATGAGCCGTAAACATCAACTCAACTTCAGATTTAATTGGCATGTTTTAACAAAGAATTATAATACAAAATGAAAATGTAGCATCAAACTAATAATTTTTGAAGTGTAAATAAAGATTATCGGAGCATGTTTTACAAGAAAATACTATTTAAAAAAATCATGTTTCATTCACTGTTACTTGCTATTTCTTTGTAAATAATTATGAAATTTACTTGCAATTTCTGAGAGAAAATTGTTTCTATACCTTTTTTTTCAGTGCATGAAATTGAAATGAACATGCATTTTGTAATTGACTATTAAAGCCTTCAAATATCCAGAGGATGTGAGCAAAAAAAAGTTAAAATGGATGACAAGCTGTTTGCTATCGGCTGGTTAATCTGAGACTGAAACAACAGCAAATCTCCCATTAGAATAATTAAAGAGCTTCGTTTGGCAGAGTTTAATGAGATAATCACTACGGTGTAGATCTGCATCTCAAATTAACTTAACTATATGATACTTTTGCATGCTTTACAGCTAAAAACTGTAACTTAAACCTGAATTATGAAACATAGATGTGGTTGAATTCAAGAGACTGGATGCAAAAGCATTTCAATTAAAATTGATGATTTTAAAGCACTGCACTGTATTTCTTAGCATAATAAAAGCATATATTTTAAATCAGAAACATCGCGACTACATGCAAATAAAAAATAAAAAAAAGACGTTAACAACCTTCACCGTCTTTTCTCTGAAATGACTTTCTACTCATTTATAAAAACAAAAGCATACATTTAATTTCTGAGCGATCAGCAATGGTTCAGCTCAGCATCATTAGCATCACAAATCATTTCCATGCAAATTGTCAATTAGAAGTTCCCATTCCTGTCTTGTTATTTTATATGTACGTCTGAATGCTAATGCATTTGGTTTATATTAACATATTCATTTATTCATTAAGCAGATGCCCTTATCCAAAGCGGCTACAAATAACGACAGCTAATACGAAATATAAAAAAGTTTTTCCTTCTGTAAAAGAGTCTTGATGCACTTAAAGTTTTATTACACTTACACTTTAAATCAAAACCATTCGTTTCTCCATTCGTTCTTCCACTGTCATATGAATGGACCGCTTTCCTCATGCCACTAAAGTTTCCTCATTTTAATCTGCGCCTGTCTATACGAAGCTCAGGAGGAATAAAATCCCTGCTGCTGGAAATCTGAACATCCGCGGTGAAGCTTAAACAGAAAAGAGGCACGACTGACCCCGAGCCTGCATTAGAAAAACCCACTTCTGCTGCCATTAAAGCAGCCGAACAGAGTTTCTGAGCTTCAGGCGTGTTTGATTTGGACCTCAGCCAGACCTCCACATGCTCTCAAAGATCAGAAGACAACACACCACAGATGAATATGGTAAAAAAAAATAATAATAAAAAAAATAAATAAATAAATAAATATATATATATATATATATATACAGTAACATCACCAATCTCTCCCAGCTGATTCATCACAGTACATTAAGACAAGTTTTCTGAAATTGTATACCTAAATATGCAAATGAGGTATGGTCTAGTTAAATATGAACTCATTTGCATACATTTGGGCAGAGCCAGATTCAAAATTCTAGTTTTATTTTGTTGACATATTAAATATGACATATGAACAAACCTTCAGAATATGGACGGTTTCATCGGGCACACGCGCCTGGCCCGAAGTTAACTTCCGGTATGTGTTTGTTTATCAGTCTGGCTATGGCGCCGGCTACAAACGCAGTTAAAGTTAAGGTGAATAGATTGAAGTTGGGCTCAGGTGGTTGTGCTGTGGGTATGATGTTTCCCATACATTTATTTATTTGTGGCGCTCGCCACAATATCAAAACTGACGGATTTTCCAAAAGGATTCGTTGAATAAACATGAGCACGTACTGCGCATTTAAAAATCAAAACGAGGCGCGGGTGTTTTTATATCACTGTATTTCTGAAGGAAGACTATCGTTAGAAAATGTTCGATGTCATTTTCATTTCATCTTGCATGTTATATGCCTGATAAAGCAGCGTTTGTGAGCCGTTACTGGGGAAACCTCTGTTTCTCCCGCTTTAAAGCACCTCCTACTGGCAGAGAATGAATTAGCATTTTCAGCAAGTTCGTCTGATTTACCCAGCAAACATATTTTGCTTATCAAAAATAATCTACTCTAGAGGGACTACTTAGCTGCTGTTATTGATTCTATTTGCAAGTCTACCAGAAGTTAAGTTAGGGCCACAAAAGCGCGCATGCGCAGTGACGTTTGTTTATGTTATTGCCGTTGAAACCGTCTATAGATATAAATAAAACTGTAAATGTTGGTGTTTGCAAGTGCTACTGAAGTGGATTTAAACATTAAAGATATGTATAGCTATTCAAATCTACAGATGCAAATAAATACAGTGCAATAAAATAAACACAGTGTATTTTGTTTTGTTTTTTCCACTAGTCTCAAATAAGACGCTATAGAAGCAAAATAGGCCAACATCCCAAAATTGACCAGTTTTTTTTTTTTTAAAGATGCAAATTATGCATTATCTAATTAAATATGCACTCATTTGCATGCATTTCCAGAACAGGAATCTAAACATTGGACAAAGTTTGTTTTAAAAGTGCTTGTTTGATTTTGTTGACATATTAGAGTCAAAAGTTTTTACAGAGGAGATTATAGATATCTCTTTTTATCATGCCATAAATCAGAAAATACTGTCAACAGACAGAAAAAAAAAATTTTCACCATGTTTTTAAGAATAAAATGTTGTAAAATCTGGTAAATGGTATATGAACCTTTAAAGGTAAACACCTTCAGAATATAGATATGAATAAAACAGCATTGTTTTATAATACTGTTTTATTATATATTTATTTATTTATTTCATATTGATTTCATACATGATTTCTTTATATATTTAATACTTTTTATATTGTATATTGTTATATATTGTAAAAGTTTGCTCTACGTAAGTGCCACTGAAGATTTAACTTCTGTTTAACTTCTAACACTGAAGAAGATTTAAACATTAAAGATATGTAAAGTGATTAAAATCTACAGATGCAAATAGATAAAGTGCAATAAAATAAACAGGGTGTATTTGGATGTTTTCTGTCCACTAGTCTGAAATAAGAAGTATTATGGAAGCAAAATAGCCCAAGATCTCAAAACTGCCCAGTGCTTTTGCTGTAGTGTACTGCCTTAAAATGCACTGAATTATCATGCAGAAAAAGCCCAAAACACGCTCTTGTTGAGTCGAAATGATCATGCATGATGACAGTTTGTGTCCAGACAGAGCGGGTCGGTTATAAATAGAGCCCGACCGATATATCGTTTAGCCGATATTATCGGCCAATATGAGCCTGTCGCCGATATGAATTTTTTTTTACAAAACATATAACGCAGATAAAATGCTTGAAATGGTATAATTACTTAGTTTGTCCAGCAGAGCGCGCTCCTTTGTTTGCTACTGGCGACCTGGATGAAACGCTTTAAAGCTTAAGTCTATGGAAAACAATTGAAAATTTGAACGGCCATATCTCTGTAAATGCATGGCGAATCCGCACCAAATTCGGGGGATCCCTTCAGATCAAGGAACCCTCTCGAATGCGAACTGATTGTACGTCTCGAGGCCCTCTTTCGAATGAGACCACCCCCGCGTCGATAGCCCCTGGGGTTCGGGAGTTACGGGTGGTTAAATTCGCGGTCCGGCGCCGACCGATCAAGCGATCCCGGGGGGCTACTGACGCGCGGAGGGTGGCGTTCGAGAGGGCTCCTCGAGCTGAAGGGATCCCCTGAATTTGGTGGAGATCTGTCAGCACGTTCGCAAGATAGTGACACCAGTCAACACTTTAACTTCAGTAAGGAGGTCTCTTGTTCAGGCAGCAGCATTCAAGCGTGGTCTTATTCGACCGTAAGTGCCCTGCGAAGTGGACTTCACATGATATTCTGCCATGATTCCAGTTCCAAGGGAACGTACACGTTACATTCAAAGGGCATTAAAGTGCACGAGATGTGAATTTATATTTATTTACAGAGGTATATTATGTCACACTTCACTAGTAAGTTTTGTCTGTGTGTGAAGACAGTAGCGCAAATCCGTGAATGAATGTTCCGAAGTGAAATAAACTTCAAAGGAATAAAGTTGAATGGAATTGAATTGAATTAAAGTTGAATCAACTTCAACTTTACTGTTCAGTGCACTGATGTCAGAATCATTTTGGAAAATAAAGTTTATTGTTTAAATTGTTAAATGCCCTGCCTCCATTACATATCTTTGTCACGTCATTATAAGTGTTTGATCACCACATTTGAGTGATCATTGCAAAAAATGTGTTTATGTATATATATTCTGTTTATGTATGCCCTGCCTCCATTACATATCTTTGTCACGTCATTATAAGTGTTTGATCACCACATTTGAGTGATCATTGCAAAAAATGTGTTTATGTATATATATCCTGTTTATGTACTGTATATACTGTATTCTATATATAGTACCAGTCAAATGTTTGGACCCTCGAATGGGAAAGTGTCCAAACTTTTGATTGGTACTGTACTATAATATACACAAAGAATATCGGCCGATATATCGATATCAGCCTTTTTTACTCCCTAATATCGGTATCGGCCCCAAAAAATGTCCCCGGGCTCTAGTTATAAAGGCCTCAGAGGTCAGAGTGTAACGTGAGAAATCACCATGTCTATCCTTCCTGTGAAACAATCCACTTAACACAGACGCTGATCAATCCAGCTGCTGCGTCTCTAACAGAGCCGTCCGTCTCGCCAATCAATTCAATTTCAGCAGGAGAAATGAAGCCTTTCAGTGAAAGCCGAGCTTCAGAAGAACAGATTTACATGTTTGAACACACACACGCACAAAAACCACACATCCAGTGATGGAAACCTGACATTTGTAAACTCTGAATCTGTTTGTCACCAAACACATCCTGCAACTAAAAATCAAGAGAGGAAAAACACACTTATGTTACAACTCTGGTCTAACTATTTAAAAAACAAACAAAAGTTCAGCCAAACAACCAACTAGACCTGCTCAGACCAAATCAGACCAGCTAGTGACTATGAATGACCAATTCAAACTACCTAGAAACCATGTAAAACCCTTAGGAGCCGGCTTTATCTGAATTTGTTAGTATGAATTCTAACAGCTGTATTTTTTTTTTAAAGCTACAAAAATTAAAATAATGTATTAATAATATTATAAATTAATAACAAATTCACATGTTACACTTATTTATTGGTATTATTTTTAAACAAATATTCATATTTATAAAAACAAAAATCAAACAATATATAACTAAAATTTAGACCAGCTCAGAACAGCTAATGACTAAATACAACCAACTCAAACCACTTAGAAACCATGTAAAACCCTCAGGAATCAGTTTTATTTGGATTTCTTAGAAAACATACTGGTTACAAAAAAAAACGCAAATTATACCAAACAATTTATAATGATATAATATAATATTAACATATAATATATTCAAATATTATATGATAAATTTATTAATTTATAAACAAATATTTGTTCAAATTAAAATGTATATATATAAACTGCAATATAAATTGTTTATAATTGAAGAAATCGTATGTTTTATTTACATAAAACAGATCAGAACAGAATAGAATAGATAAGCACAGAATTGGTGTATTAAATCTAATCTGATTTTTTATTTTTTTTTACATTATAATGAGCAATGAGAAACTAATGAAAATGATCAATGAGAAACCATCACAACCATCTAGACCTGCTCAGATCAGCTCAGACAAGCTAAAGACTACAAAAGGACAGCTTGGACCATCTAGAAACCATGCACAACCCTCAGAAACTGTTTCTGTTAGCATGAAAAACACAGATTCTAAAAGCGATAGATATTAATACACAACATTAGGACATTCAGCAGTAGGGCTGTCAAAATAAATTCGAATTTCGAATATTCGTCGAATTAAAAAAAAAATCCATATTCGAATGCAAAAACGTTGCATTCGAATTTTAGGTCTGCGTCAGCCGTCAGGCAGCCTATCAGTGGCGCACGAAATGCGACGACGATGTAAGTGTCATTGCTTTTGTTAGCCTATCCAGTTGAACCCACTATGCGGCGCTGCTACGTTGTTCATTCAATATATTGCGGAAAACGAGAGCATCAGTGTGGAGAAGATATTGTTTACGTCAAAACTAAAACCAAGCCGTTCACACAGAACACATATTTATCACACTTTCTAGAGGGACATCTATCAGCAATGCACTTGCGTCTCGCACAAGAGAGCCACATGTTTAGAAAGCCATGTAAAATTAATGTAAGTTCAACTTTTAAAAAATATGTCTCAAGACTTTATGGCGGTTTTCCCCCATCCCACTGTATCTCATGTTTTCAAATGAAGAAAGTAGCCTACTCTTTGTGATTGGTTTTCGGTCCTACATACATGCATGGTGCTGTTTTTTTTTTTCTAATTGTTTAAGCAACTTTATTAATTATATATGGTTTATAAACATTATTTTAAACATTATGCACTTTTTTTTCAAAGATAGTCGTGTTATTTTATTACGCTTTGAAGAAACGTGCATAATATTTTGCTCGATGCGCCCTCTTGTGGCCTCAGGAGAGAAGCCAAAAGCTTTTTTTCCCCTAACTGAAATTATGCCTTTTAAATTCGAATATAATTCGAATTTTGATAATATTTAAGTACAAAATTCGAATTTAGTTTTTCAGTCATTTTGACAGCCCTACTCAGCAGAACTTGTGTGATGTTTTTTTCACCCTGACGTCGGTGGCGTCTCCATGCCGGATGTTGCTGGACCAGGTGCTGTGCTCGCTGTTGTTCTCAAAGTGATGGAAGACCTTCAGGACTCTGTCCGGGGCCCCGGGAGCCCGCTCCGTCCCCGTGCTGAGACGGGCCTTGGCCCCGCCGCCCAGGGTGTGGTTTGGGTTGGGCTCCAGGTATGCCATCGCCATGCCTTTACTGTGCGCTAGGTGTCTGTCATATTCTGGACAGAAACAAGACAACAAGGGAAACTGGTTAGAGCCATTCTGCACAGGGCTGCATGATTAATAGTGTTATTATCAAATCACAGAGGCTGCAATTCAATTCAATAAATATAGTTGCATCATGATTCAGAGTGAAGTGCGGCAGTGGTGTCCGCAGCATCTCAGAGTGAAAAAAGAAAAGCTTTAAGATGTGACTGTGTTTTTACGCCAAAACAAAAACTTTATGACAAAATTAAGACAGCGATAAATATAAGTATTATAATATAAATTAATATTTGTATTATATTATTTTTCCTAAAATATTATATAAAAAAATAAAAATTAAAAATGTAAATGTAAAAGAATTATTTATCTTATTTTACAGTGAAATATTTGTGTTGATATAAATAAATAGTAAATAGTAATAATAATATAAACAAAATTACAACACTAATAATGAGTGTATTATATATTTATTATTATTATTATTACTACTACTATTGTTATTATTATTATTCTATTTTATATTGATATATAATCACACAAATTTAGCCCTACAAATCAAGGTTATTATAGTTACCTAAAACTAAAACCATTAAAAAAATGTTAATTAAAATAAAATAAACATTAACTGAAATAAAATAAAATGATAAAAATAAACTTATTTTATTTCAGCTAGTTGCCAAAAAAAATCTAATTTTCATTAACTTGAAGTACTAAAAGAAATAGAGCTAAAACTAATAAAAACTATATACTGTACTTATTTTAAAAATTAATATAAAAACTTCATAAAAATGACAAAAACACAACAAAATTACTAAAACCTTATCTAAAATTAAAATAAAAACAGAAAATGTAAAAATAAAACTATTTCAAACTATCAATAAAAACGATAAAAGCATAATAATACAATTAGTTTGAATAGATTCCTAAATAACACCGCTACAAATAAGCACAGCAAACCTGGAAAAAACTGCATTTCAATTTGCAATCACAATTTTTTTCAGAAAAAATGCAAATAGATTTTTCCCCCAAATCATGCATCGCTATGTAGTCCTCAAAATTAATTACACACAGGCAATAAAACTGGACAGTGTTTCCTAAGTAGGAAGAACTTTCTAATGCCCTCTCTCCGTTTCTCACACCTCTGATTGAATCTGAGGACATTCCTCGCTCTGTCTTGGTGTGTGAAGCAGCTCGAGTTCCAGACAGCGAAATATGGCGAAGCGTGAACTGTGCAATAAATTTCCTCATGAAATGAAGAGACGTAATATATGAGCAGATGAAACACCAACGAAAACCAAACCATTGACTCGCGCTTACATCAGGGGTAACAGACCAGGATCATTCATGGTTTCACACACCAGACTGAAGACTAAACATCTTTCTAGTTGGTTTTGGTGGTTGACCAGCAGGATTACCAGCTTTAGAAGGGTTGGTAAACCATCTTGACTAAGCTGGTGGAGAGTTATGGGTTTGTTAAGCTGGTTAACTCGACACTCAACCTTTCTGCTGATCATCTGAGCACACATTAAACTCCACAGCACACTGTGGGAAGGACTGATATTTGAGCGGTTTTGAGGCGATGTAGCGGCACATTCCCATCAGCAGCATTCCTACAATCCCAGACGTCCGCTTATCTGCCGCTTATCACCATCACAAATATGAAACACACCCGGCACACAGATAAACATACGTACAAGAACAAATACACACAGCAGCACGGTTACGCAACTCAGTGTGTTTCCCGTTTTCAGTTTAATATAGAACTAATCTAATAAAAGATAAACCATGAGTCCTTTCATAGTGAGATCTGAGAAACTTCAAATACTATTTCAGGTTAAACACCCAGTTACAGATCTGAGACCTGCTGCCAAGTATTAAAGATCCCTTCATCATAAGTAGTGCTGGATTCTTTTCTCACACGCTATATATATATATACACATACATATACATATGTGTGTGTATACACATATATACATACATACGTACGTACGTTTATTTGGTGTACTGAATTTATTTTTATGCCTATTTTAACAATCAGTATGTCTGGACTGGATGATGCCTATTTCAGTGTTACAGTAATGAGAAATGAATGAGAATCATCAGTGAGAAACGAGAATCACAAAACATCTGCACACATTACAGTAATGAGAACTGCATGAAAATAAAGTCACAGTGCAATAAAGTAATAATGGTTGTCATAACGGTTTTGGGGTGAAATAATAATAATAATAATCTTTATTTTACATAGCGCCTTTAAAAGTACATCTCAAAGCACTTTACAAAATATGAGCCAGACGTGTTCTTGAAAGACACACACACATCAAAGTGTCAGTGAATGAGCCGTTACACCCTCAGAGTCACGTATGACACACACACACACACACACACACACACACACACACACAGAGAGAGAGAGAGAGAGCCGCCGACACTGACACCATCCAAACACACCGCAGCTGAAAAAAAAAGTATGAATTTCTTAAAAAAAAAAAAAGCCTGAAACGTTTGATCAGTAGTGTAAACAGCCGTCTATCTGAAGCCAAATCGTAAGCGATGAGCATCAGAGCGGCTTGTGGACGTGACAGTCCTACCTGTGAGTGGAAACGGCCAACAAACACACGGCACAGCAGAGTCATGCGACAGACGTCCATCTCTGTCGAGGAGCATGAGGAGAGACGTGCGGCGTACAGAAATCCCCGACACACGTCTGTGCCTGACGGCCGTGCCTCTTCCTCTGACATACAGTAAGCTCTCATCGCTCCAGTCACAGCCGTGTGTGTCATGTTTACCTGCACATTACTGATGTCTCATCATATTCCTCAGACCCACCTGCAGTCCAGGTGTGTGGGGGCGTGGCTTAAGACAGGACACACCCCTAGCATTTACACAACAAATATTGTACTAAAGCTCATGTAGGACACAGAGACTTACAGGCTCTGCTTCAAACCCTAGTGAGCTTGTTTGCTGTATACTGTCTACATAGGCAGCATCCTGACTGAAATGGAACCTTCTGAGTGAATTGGAACGCTCTACATACTGTAGGCAACAACATGCAACAAAAAAATAGCTTATACTTAACTTATTAGAACCACATGAGACGTGGCTTACAAATGAGTTGTATATGAGATGAACACTTCATTTGAACCCTAATATGCATAAAATCAAATGGCACGCAAAATTACTGGATACATTTTTAATTAGATTTATCTATTTCAATTACAGTGAACAAAATGCATTTAATAAACTTACGTAACTAATCCATAACCACAGCAGGCAATTACTATAGGTCCTATTTATATATTTAAAATAATAAATAAAAAATAAAAATAAAAATTAGCAAATAATAAAGAATTAATTACAATTAAATGAATAAAAATAAATAATGTTTTTTCCTATAATTTTTATGTATTTATTACATTTATATTAGTTATCGTTATTTTTGCGTATTGCTTTTTTATACATTATTTTAAATAGATACATTTTTGTTTATTTTATTTATTTATTATTTGTTTTTTTAATATTAATTAAAAGTAAATACATCAATAATAAAAATGAGCAAATAATAAAGAATTAATTACAATTAAATGAATGAATAAAAATAGATAAATAAAAAGTTTTCCTATAATTTTTATGTATTTATTACATTTATTTTATTTATCGTTATTTTTGCTTATTGCTTTTTTATACATTATTTTAAATAGATACATTTTTGTTTATTTTATATATTTATTATTATTATTATTTTTTTTTTAAATAAAAGTAAACATAACAACAATAAATAAACAAAAAATTAATAAAAAAAAATCTGTACATTTCAAAGCATTTTCTGCACTGCAGTTCAAGCTTGTGTGCTAATCGGGTTTATACTTTAAATCTGTCATTGTATGCTATGAATATTGTTGACATCTACAACAAATTGCTTGCGGGTTTCCTCATTCGCAAATGAATAAATGTAAATGTTTAACCTGGTGCAACAAATTTTACCAGATCAAAATATCATTTCATTACTGTTGACGAGTAAATAGTTTGATGAGTAAACTGGGCAATTTTAATTTCCCATAATACAGATGATAAAGACAATAAAAAGAAAGCAGCACAGAGACAGCCCTGTAACTGTGAATAAAATGAGCAACACTGAAGGAAATCTCTTCACACTGTGAGCAAACGCGACTGCAGTGACCGCAGCGGAATCTGAATATAGCATCTCTAAAGATTTCACAATCTTTAATGTCACAGTTCAGTCTAATTCAACTGCTCCACAGGCCAACGACCACATCGACACCGTCTGCCCTGCCAAAATGAGTCATTTTAGGCGATCGCGTGGAGGTTTCGCTGAATTTCCATCATCTAGGAGTCATGAGTCATTCCTGACAGCATGAGACGAGTCTGAGTGAGAACACGAGGAACCGTCGCTGATGAAAGCATCCAGTGGAACAGAGATGATGGGGTCAAAAAGACACACAGATATCCCAGCATGCACCAGCACAATGGAGCTACAGCTGACTTCATGTTCAGGGACACAGTGACCCATGAGAGCAAAAGGGAAGAGATTTTCATTTTACATTAATGCAACATTGCATAATAACTGCAAACAAGTGAAAACGGGAATAAAAATGGTGTTGGTGGTGGAGATGAAAAAGATGCACTCTTTACCTCATAATACAGCATATTCTCCTAAAGGCTTAACTAAAGCAAACAGCTTTTTAGTATGAGATGAATCGTGAAAATGATGCTTTTTTAATGCAGCAAGAGGTCAAGATGCAATTAGACAGAGCTTTCTCTTTTAAAGGGGTCATATGATGCTTTTTTAAAGATCATTATTTTGTGTATTTGGTGTAACAGAATATGTTGACATGCTTTAATGTTCAAAAAACACATTCTTTTTCAAATACTGTACATTATTGTAGGTCCTCTATGCCCCGCCTCTCTCAAACGCTTCGTTTTCTACAAAGTC